GTCCAAAGACAGTTGTGTGTGTGTGTGTCCAACATTTTTACAGAGCTCTGACTACTCTTACATTTTTAATATGCTAGGCTGTTTCTGTTTCCTTTTATCATGATTCATTTCAATGCATTTCCATAAATGAATGACGTTTACAGTGGCACAAGAAAGGGTTGACATTATTTTGTGCATACGTAGGATAATCATTGTTCTTATATATTTTTTTTTCATCGGGAGAGAGGACATCCTTCATTTGAAAATGCTTATCTATTCTTATAATATTACTGATCACATGTGAAGTTAAATCATTAGTATTAATTTGTTTTGTTGGTTTATTTGACTGGGCGAGTACTCAGTAATTAAACATTGCTCAACAGAGTTAGCCTTAAAGCCTCATTTTTATCTGTTTGCCTTGGCCAGAGGTTAAACGGTGAACATAAAACTAGAATATACACATTCTGGTACAGTACACACTAATAAGTGATGCTACAGTTACACACAGGATTATAAAGGAGCAGAACCCTGAATATGATCAGAATAAGCTCATTAGCAGAGTCATCTTCTTCAAAGCTCACAGGTGAGGTCCAACCTGGTCCATCACATTGTCTGATGGCAGTATCATCAGGTCAGACATGTGAATTCCAAGCACTTGCTTTCTATTATCCAGTCCAGCCAAAGGCCGGTCTAAGTGCCTGGTCTCCTGAACCTAAAATACATTGACCTATGCTCTCCTGCTGTCCCCCACATTACAACCCCTAATTCGGGAAATTAAGATGCCTTTTGTGTGACTTTTCTCAATCCTTGTTCCTTTTCATGCCAATCAGAGACAAGCTGCCTAGTTCAAAGCTACATCTGATGACCCTAGGTGTCATTTCTTTTCAATCAAAGCTCAGAAAGCTCCTACAATCAACAACACAGGTGTTAATTAACATCCAACTATTTGCATTCGAAAGCAGTCCAATTTAGAGGCCATTCCCTTCCATTTGTGGAACATGAACTCCCCTTTGCTTGCAAAAATTGTTGTTTTTAAAAGACCAGGCCTGTTTAAATGCTTGTATGAGATGTAAAAAAAGAGCTGGCTGCAGTTTGGATGCTCTCCATGTGGTGCGCACATTGTATTACAGCATCTGATTTGGAGCGTCTCCCTGGGAACAAAGCGGAGCTGCTGCCAGCTGCATAAAGTCAATATTGAACTTATGTTGGTGGCCAGCGCAGATTCCTCATTATTCACATGGCTGCATTGTCAGCGACTTCCTGGTCTACTATTGCCTGCTTTATCTTAACATCAAATATTTGGGGAAATGAGCCGCTCTAGTTTGCACGTTAATGGCCCATACAAGCATTTGTGTTTTTTGCGCGGCTGCAGACGTCAATGGTAGACTGCACTCCAAGTTAGATCCATCAAGTTGGCTGCCAATAATCATCTATCAGTCTGTCAGAATGGGAGCGCTAGACCTGTGCAAGGACAATAGAATTATTGCTCAACGGCCTCCATATGAAGACAAAGTACAGGGCAGTCTAATTGCATTTCACACAGCTAATGAGGGGCCAATCGGCGCAGAGACAGAGGGTTTAAGCAGCGCAGACTTAACCAAATCCGATCAGACATGATTAGATAGGATTAACTATAAATATTTTCCTGGACTTTTAATTAATTGACAGAGGGGAGAGTTTTAGCGTGCAGGATATTTAAGGTTGGAAGGCAGGTGAACGCGTTTGAATAAACACAATCTAAAAATAATACTATTTGTAATATAATGTAGCTATTGACGTTTCTGTTGCAGACTACTTGTAAATAGCAAATGCATATAGGCTACTCGGAAAATTACAACCTAACCAAAAACCGAAAAACAGGAAAAACAATAAATCTATAGTAACGTGCAAAATCAACCGACTTTTAACAGGTGTAAGAAGGCGGTGTGCACACCAGAGGGCGCTATATGGTAACACTAGAAGCAGATGGAGGCTTTAAAGGGAGTATCCACACAAAAAAAGAGGTATTTTCACTGCAGTGAAGCCACAGTAGTATTAAATAGACAGCTTTGTCGCATTTAAAGGCTGTTTCAACAACACAATAAATAAATATGGTTTATATATTCTGAGGGTTTTTTTAAATGTAAGGCTTCTTGTTGTCAGTCCAAAATGGCCATTGTACACCACTAAAATGCGATGTTCCATTACTTACTGGCGATGTGATTGATAGTGGGGAGGAGCATGAGCTGAAAACAGTCAAAATCACATCAGATTTAATTGGCTGTCATTCAAAAACTATACATCAAATCAAAAGCCTTTTTTACATGAAAGTAGGACTAAGTGTGTAGTGTCATTGTACCTTTGAATGACCTTCCTACATGAAACAATGCCAAAAATAGCTAGCTTTAAATTTAGGTGGGCATTGACAGTTACTGTAGTGTCCCCTATTGGCATGGGTGCATGAAATTCAGCACCCTCCTTCAAAACAAGTCTGCTAAGTCTGGTTGAAATAAAACAATACACTGATGAGTTATAGCTTATCAAACTTTTATTGGCAACAGGAAGTGAGATTTTGATATATTCTGACTAACTGTAGCCAAAACATATCAAAATGGTGGAAAATCTGGTCACTCATTTGAATATTTTCTAAAAGAATATTATTTCATCTTTGTCACACACACACAGCTTGTGTTTTCATTCTCTGTGGCAACTTTATATTGACTTGTATTCATTTCCTGTAGACTTATACTAACCTTAACCAAAACCACTACTTGCCTAACCCTAAACCTGACCCTAACCCCAAACCATGTTGCCGCCCCTAAAATGTCCCTGCAATGTGAGTGTGTTAACAGGTTTTGGTCCCCATAATGTAAGTAATACAAAGGCACCCCCCCCCCCCATTCACACACACGCACAAAGCTTCACTCTCTGTCTCTTACTCTCTCACATTCATCTACTATCTAGGCCACTGATCATTGCAAGATGTACTTAGAGCAGTAATAAGCACCAAGCTTCAAAGGAAAGAGACATTTCTGATGATGAGTTCAGAATAATTCACTGGAAAACCACATAAAACACACAACACACTGGTCTTCAGATAGTTCATGTGCCATCCATTGGCTGGCTAATAAAGCTGGATAATACTGTTACATATCACTTAAGGCATTGTGTTTTCATACAATATATTATAACCTAGTACTGTGAGTTTAACAGCTGACCAAACAGGTAGATGCACCCTTGTTATTTTCACTCAGTAAAACAAACAAAACTTGCACTTTAGTAACCACTTACCAAAAATTTGAGTCACTGATCTATGGCTGATTCTCATGTACCAAAAGTCTTACTCGCTCTGTCTGAAGGAGCACAGCAGACCTCAGAGATATCAAACAGAAAAAGAAAATCCCAATTACACTTGACACGCCACAGACTTGGACTGCATACAGTCAAAGGGCTAGAGAGTTATCACCAACTGTCAGTTGGTGAACTCACCCCTCTATGTAGACACACATTGCTTTTCTTCCAAAAATAAAGCATTTTCATGAGTAACCTGGGCACAATAACCTGTCATAAACTGTCAGAGTTAACAAATTTATGCAGTTAAATTAATGCAACACACAACAAACTAGGCAAGGCTGTGCGAATGTGGCCCACTGCAACAGCTATCAGATGTGAGCACAGAGTAAACTGACGCAGACCACTGCTTGTCGTTCATACACTGAGTGTTTTGCATTTAAAGGGGCAGCAGTCATTGCTATTCCAGTCTGAGGAAAAATGTGTCCTCTACGCCACCGACAGACTGACAGACAACCCGCAGTTTTCCATTCACAATACTGACAGCACACCCCCACCCTCTCCCCACAGCAGATGCTGTGATGGGCGCCATGATGATGAGCTGGGATTTTGCCTGCAGCAGCAACCAGAGATGCTATATCACTGAAAGATATGATGCTAGCTGTAAAGGAATAAACGGGTTTACGCAAACGTACAGCAAAGATGGCCGATTTGAGGTTGCTCTATACGCATGCGTAAAAGTTGGGAAACTAGCTACCTTTTTCTTTCAAAATGCAAAAGAGACAAATGAGGGAAGGTATCAAGATACAGCTAAGAAATTATTTATTGAACGAACTAGATATAAAACGTTTTGTGGGAGTTCATAAATTGTGTTTTCAACGCGTACAGGCTGGGCTGCTAGTTGATCATCCATTTGAAACTCATTCATATTTTAAGAAAGAGCCCTACGTCCCATAATTCAGCGCGTCGTTATGAATAAGGCTGTCTACTTGGCTCTCTTCTCTGTCGAGAGTCTTTGGTAGTGAGCCGCTGGTAGGTTGACTGTGCAAAGACAGCAAGAAGCGACCGACCGGCGGGGGAGGCAGGCAGGAGGCGAGGCAAAGGGAAGGACAGGACAGGACAGGACAGGAGAGGAGAGGAGAGGAGAATTTAGGCTGTGTCCCGTATTTGGAATAAGCAACATCAGACTACAGCTTTTCTTTTGACGTGAAAGGAGCTCCGCTATAACCTTCAAAAGGGACTCGCATTTGGGCGGCCAACTTACTGGCTTTTGAACTATTGAACTAACCGTCGGTTTAGCCTGTGAAGAAACTAAGGAGACATTTGTTTTCCTGGCGAAGAATGGGATTTAATGAACATATTTGGCAGCGTTGAGTTGTGAAAACAAGGAGATATTTTCCAACTGGCTGAACAATACCAATAGTGTCGAAAGGAGCCGAATTCAGTTACGCTTTATTAACCCTGTCTATATCATATGTCAACCCCTGGAATGAAAAGCAGGGTCAATGATGGGATTTAGGGACGGAGAAAAGTAGCCTGAACGTTAGCTCACTGGCTAGCTCAAAGCTAAGTTAGCAGGCTGCTAACTAAGCCTGTGTCGCCCTTCCATTCCTGTAGCAGAGGAGGGGCGCTGGGTCTTTGTAGCATTGCAGATCTACCTTGCATTTTTGGGTTGCTGCAAGAATGGAGAATCCCAAATATTTGCCTCAACGACCCACAGAGCTCTGCTGAACGACACGGACTCTTCCACTTCACGTCCGGAAAAAAAAGCTGCCAGATAACGTTGGGATTTAATCAAAAACCTACCAGCCCGGGGCAGCAAGGGACTAATTGTGACTACTTCTTTTCTTATGTGCCCTGTGGGGATAGGCAGTATAAAATGGGAAGTGCTACACGTCTTATCCATCTCCTAGATACTGGATCTCGAGAGGGAGATCATGATTAAGTGGATTTTAACGCGGAATTAGCCCCGGCTTCCCCCTACGTAACAAGTTTTTTTTTGAGAAACATATAAGGTGAGAGAACTTCTTTATAGGCCCCTCTGCGCTAACTAACAGGCCGAGGAGGTGTCGGCTCCTTTCCTACTCTCAGCTCCTCTTATCATCACTAACGTTACTTCAGAAACTAACAAGCCGGAATAATGTCTGGAGAGGTGCGTTTGAAGAAGCTGGAGAAGCTGATCCTGGACGGGCCAGCTCAGGCTAATGGCCAGTGTCTCAGTGTGGAGACGCTGCTGGATATCTTGGTGTGCCTCCACGATGAGTGCAACAACTCCCCGCTCAGAAGAGAGAAAAATGTCCTGGAGTTTTTGGATTGGGGTAAGCAAGCTTTTTCTTTCTGGTTTGTGCGTTCAGCCTGCCTGTCTTTTTGGTAAGATGATAGGCTGATAATGTTGGTGGTGGGGTGGCCCTCCGCTAGTAGCCCCACTATCTTCTCACCCAAAGCCTCCCTAAAGCTAAAAGCAAGGCTGCTTTATTCCTGTCCATTGAAATGTTTTATATGTTTGGGAAAAGCAAAACGCATGGCAGACATTATCAAAAACATACAGGTTGTTAATAAAATGAGTTATCAAATACATTGGAAGACATTAACTACAGTGAGGAGGATCTTAAAGAGGTCCATGCAGATTTTTTTTTAATGAATCCAGCTAATCTCTCATAATGATGTCCCATCCTCCTGGCCACTGGTTATGCTTATTAAAATGCACTGAAAGTAGCTCAGTTTAGTTTTCTTAACTACTTTGCATTGGCAGTTTGTTTTCCTTTTGAAAGTTTGTTGATAACCCACCTAGCTGCCCATGACACATATACAGTGTTCTTATAAAGTAAAAACTAAGGTGTTTTGTTGCAGTTTACTGCAGAGAGATCGGTTGGATGAGTGTTTTACCCTGTGTTTCATTAGTTTATAGATGGGAGAAGAGTTTGGGTGAGGAGTGTTTTGTTTTTAGCATTCCTATACTTTTCCCTGGTTTAAAGCAAGGTTTGAAAAAAACAACACACTGGAGGCAGGAGGACCACACACACACACACACACACACACACACACACACTCAAGCATTTGTGCAAAAGGTGTGTGTGATACAGGGAGTTTGGTTTGTGCATGAAAGAGGAATGTGAACAGCTCACCCTTTTATTTTTCTTTTATCTGGGCCAGCAGCCCAGCTAGCTGCCGAAGCATGCCCGGCTGGCCTGCTTGTCTTTTAATGCCCTGACAGAAGTGCTGCAGCACTGTTGAGGCAGTGCAGGAGCAAACTACTCCAGGCAATAACAAATAAAGCTGTAGCTGAAGGAAAATACAGCTTGCCATATTTGCTGGATTCTTTTTTGTAGCTTTGTTTCTGAAACTGTTTAAACAACAGTGTTGAACAGGTTGCAGTGGGGGGGCCGTTACACAGTGGCAGTGTCAAAGACAGACAGAATGGAAGCGAGAAAAAGTACAACGAGCTACAAATTTTTTTGGCCCCTCCATCCACGACAACGGGATGTGTTCTAAAAATGGAGCTACTGTAATGGCTGGTAAAACAGTTGAAGTGGCCGAATTTGTATATTTATCTTTATTATCTTGGCTTTTGCATCTGTTTGGGGATAAAGAGGTACCTTTCTGTGTGTCCCAAGTCCTAACCAACGGTGTTTATTTCTCACACATGTAGCACTTCCTTTCGAGCCCTCTATTTTCTCCCAGTTGCTACTCCCAGGCCAAGCTGTGGCAGGAAACGTGCTATGTGGCCGGCCCTGCAACAATGCATGTGTGCCCTGGCCTTTAAAGAGAGCCACCCTATCCTTGGGTGCCAAGTGGTGACTTCATCCTGACATTTCCATGTTTTGGTACTAGAAACACTGTCTGTGTATGACCAGACACAACATACAACTGTCAGATGTGTTCAAGCTGTCATAGATGTGTAGCCGTCCCATGTTGATGCTTGTTGTGGTATTCCCCTTCAGAGGGATTTGTATGAGAATCCCCATGATGATACCAATTAGTATGAGCAAATTGCATAATTTGCCCCTAGACGTCAGTGAAGCTGAAGGTATAAGTTAACTGATTATTTTAAGCAGGTAGCCCTTATACAAGTATTGTGCTGTACTTTATTTAAGATACAAAAATGAAAAAGACTTGTAATATAATGAAAGATTAATTGAACTTAACAAGTAAGTAGCTGACAATATAAGCAGGGGTAGCACTAATAGAATTTATGGCCTTGGATGATTTAGAGATAGTATTTTGGAAGTGTCACCATTTGAAAAATGGCCAGCAACATGTTAAACACTATTACAGTGCTAGCAGCAATATGTTTATACTTTGGTAGCACTGGTTTGTTGGCTGTCTTTGCTTTTATAACAGTCCATTGTAGATTGAAATTCAGTGTATTCTGTGTATGTATTCTGAGAATTCTCTGTTCTGTGAAGAAGGACCAAAGAGACACCCTAAGGGTTTTGCACTATGGCTAAATGGGGTGAATTAAGGATTGACTGGCACTGTGATGGTGTGCCACAGCCAGGTGTTTTGGGGCAGTGCATCTCTTTGGTTCGTCATCAGTAGTCAGAAACATAGTGAGCCATACTGGATGTTGGGGGTGGCTGCGGCTCAGGAGGTAGAGCGGGTTGTTTCCTAACCAGAGGATTAGCGGTTTGATTCCCGGCTTGTCCAGTCAACATGTCGAGGTGTCCTTGAGCAAGACACTGTACCCCCAGTTGCTCCCGGTGATGTCACCGGTGTGTGAGTGCTTGGGAGTGCGAATGGGTGAATGGCCGAATAATGTGAAAGCGCTTTGAGTGTGCTGTAAAAGCATAGAAAGGTGCTATACAAGTATAAGACCATTTACCATAAGACCATTTACCATGTTAGAGCAGTGGTAGCTGAAGAGCAGATTTCCATTTTTGGAAAGGGATGAATTAACTGCAGAATTGCCCTAGTTTTATCAAAGTAGAGATACACCAGTTGATTGGCAGGGATCGGAATTGGCCGGTTTTCAGTGTGATCGGCCTTGACTGGCAATTGGCTGATTCTAAGACTTCTGATTGTGTGCTGATGACATTTAGAGGCACGACAGTGCACGTTGTGCACGCAGTGGCACCAAGTGGCAGCCTCAGAGGCTGCAAAATGAAGCCAATGCGTAATTGTTAAATCCTGCAGTTTTTTTGAATGGCTGCTTGATGATGGCTCGAAAAGGGAGTTAATCCCCATAGTCTCCTATGTTGAACTGCACAACTCTACAGCAGAAATAGACATGTTTATAGCCTGGTAGAAAAAATGGTTTTCCCCTTCCATGACCACTGTCTGGGGGTAAACGTTTATTATACAACTCTGGTGTTTAAGTTGTATTAAGACTAGAAGCTAAGCATAATTAGGGGCGTGGTTGCTTTGAGTGACAGGTAGGTGGGTACTGCTAACAGCTAGCTGTTAGCTGTCTAGTGAGCTCCACTCACACTTCACCTCCTTGACTGTTTTTTTTGTTTGTTTGTTTGTTTTTTAATTAGCTGTAGGAGGTGGAGTCAAGCACTAGCAATATGGCGGCAGCCAGACTTGAGCATCAAAACTGCTCTTCACCACGGTGGGTTTGTTCAGCATATATACACTGCTCAAAAAAAATAAAGGGAACACAAGGGAAAATAAGACATTCAACTATGTAATGAACAAGGTATTTAATAAGAATATTTCATTCATTCAGATCTAGGATGTCTTATGTTGTGTTCCCTTTATTTTTTTGAGCAGTATATATGTCAATGAGTGGCACAGACCAAAAATGTACCGCATATAGCATTTTGTTTGCACCTTGAGCAAGGCTCATGCTCGTGTCTGTATTGGGTGCATGTTCAGTCATGCATTGGAAGCGCTTGTTGTACAAACAGTGTACAGAGGAACCTACAGAAACTTTCCCTCATCTGTGTATCATGTCAGTTACAGTTCTTAGACAAAATTGGAATCTGCCAAAATCAGCAGGTTAGACTTTAAAAATAAAATTGGAATTAGCCAAGAAAATAGCAGTCGGTGGATTTTTAATGATAGCATGTGCACAAGACATCTTATTAACCAGCCGGTCAGAGGACAGAGCACTCTTGCAACACATGCAGCACCTTTTATACTAGCTGGACAGCTACAAGCTTAATGTGGAAAGTTTGTTGTTTCTTAATGAAGCTCCAGAGCCCAGAAAGTGGCATTTGGGACAGTCCTAATTCAAAACACAGTTTAATCCTTCATACAGAAAAAAGGTTCAAAATGGAAGCTGTGAAACCTAAGAACTTTTTTGTGAGCAGTCAGCCTTTGTCAGCCACTCGGAGGCAGCCTCTGAAGCTACATTTCAGAAAGACTACTTCATACGTACATAGCTCAGTCACTGTGCCTGTGTACATTGGCAAAGATGCAGCCATATCCTCTTTTCTTCCTGACAAGGTATATGAGCCAGAGAAGAAGACAAACATTTGGATTGGGCTTGCTTTTCTTATTTGGTGACCTAATTTCAGCTGAAATGGAGACCCCTACATGACCTGCAGCCACAGGGGGAATGAATACGCTGTATCTTGACTCCTTACATATTCCACAGCAGTTACTGTGTCTACCAGTTCCACTAGCTCAGGCTTGTACTTTAACTTATTTTCTTCCATCCTGGCTTTTGAAATTCAGTGTAAGCCAGCCAACCTACTGTATTTCAGCATCTTCCTTAATGTAATGTTGCCAGTTGTTTTAAATGAAATGATTCAGTGTCATTTCTCACTGCAAATACTGAATTACAGTCTATATACACATTGTGTGTGTGTATTTCAGCACCAGATATGATGCACTGTCCCTTTAAACACAAGTCTCAGGTCAAATTTTTAATAAGGAGGATTTCTTTATTTTCTAAACAGGATTTTTTTTTGTTTCTGTGGACACAACACTTGCACTCATTTCTCATAGATATCCTGTTTTCCTGCCTTGCTCCCATCATTTCCTGCTCTTTGTTTTGTACTAATCTCCTTCCCTGTATTGGGAAACTGATTGTCAACCAGCTGAATGGGTAGCCATGCCAGCCCACAGTTGGTGAATGTGGGGGAGGAGGAGGCTGCCTGACCTTTTCTCAATCCACACTCAGCTTTAGCCTGCAGTGGCCAGCTGTTCAACTGCAGCTGATGTGTGCTCCACCCTGCAAGGCTTTCATTGGCAGCATGCCTCACACACTACTCACAGTGGAGACACACATAATCACACACTTAAACACACTTATTACTCCGGTTTTGTCTAACTAGGCTATCTCAGTGCACAGACTGGGGCCCCTCCGTTATTCCCATTATTGAACAGACCAGAAAATCTGCCATCTGTAAGAATTTAAATTGGTTCTAAA